AGTATGATGGGCTCAGGACACAGATTTGCAGTGTGTGGATGGTGCAGGAGTGTTGTGGCAAAAGACTGGGGATGTGTAGGGGATGTGTGGGTGCAGGAGTTTGGGGATGTGAGAGGCTCAGGGCAGGGGGTTCCAGTGTACGATGGGCTCAGGTTTTGGGTCTGGGGGGTACAGGAGTGTTCTGATGCTGCGGCCTGATGGGGGTTGGCTCCAGTTGGGAGCTTGTTGGCCAGGCTTAATTTTTAAATAAAATATTGTGTCAAACACAACATGTTTCAGCGTTGTATTTATTTATGGGAGGGGCGGGGAACCTGTTTTGAGTCAGGGGTCACTGACCCACAGAAAAGTCAGTCAGGCCCACACAAGTGAGATACAAAAACACAACCCCTCCAAACCCCACTAATGTGGCCCCAGCTGTGCTGGTGGGGGCAAGGGACAGGGTGCCAATGGGTGCTGGGGCAGGTTGCTGGGGCAGGGAACAGGCCACTTTTCCGGAATCAGCCGCTTTTCCGGAATAAGTGGCCCAGTGTAGACACAGCCGAGGTGTTTGGGTAACATACCTGTCAGGAGGGATATGACTGAGTCCTTGAAAGACTGGCAGAAAGTGTCTCATACTGATGGAGGATTAAGAAAGACAATGCGAATCCCAAGGACTGAACACTGACATCTAACAGACAACTCTGGCAGGGAGAATATGGTAATTGAGCAGGTGTCCTGCAGGAAGAGAACAGGCCAAGAGACAAAAGGCTAAGATAAGAGCTGGCCTTTTAAGATACACAGCACTCCTCTGAGACTGACAAAGACAGGGAAGAGAAAAGAGTCAAAATGGATTGTATAGCAGCTTGGTTGCCTGGAACCGTGAGGTTGCACCGTCTGAAATATGTCTTCACCCTGGCTTCTCCATAATAACCTGAGGACTTGTAGTGTAAGGATAAAGCCTTTGTCTGCAATCAAATTAAAGGAGCAGCAGCCATTAGCTCTAAAGCAGGGAGTCACATGCTCATATTCTGTCTAAATTACATTAAAATAGTTTCATACTTGCCTGTGAAGGAGACTCTGTCCTAATGGCACCTACTATCACCAGGTAAAGAAATAACCCTCAAGATGATTAAAGAAAACTTAGCTTGACAGCATTCTGTCTGGTAAGAAACTATTTATCAATAGTTGGCGTTGCAAAATCCTCATTCCTTTGCTGTGCTATTATGGTCAGAGAATCATAGAAGATGAGGGTTGGAAGAGACCTCAGGAGGTCATCTAGTCCAACCTCCTGCTCACCCCAGGACCAACCTCAACTAAAAAACAAAAGTGTCCAGCTCTTTATAGAAATGGTAGGACTTCAGTGAAGCACCAGAGTGTTGGTTCATTTCATAGGCCTTATGACAGGCTTGTCAGTCCTTTAATCTTCACTCTGCACTGCAGCGTGTCCTGCTCACACCCTTTTCCCCTGCTTATAATCCCCACTTTCCTATTGTTTGTCTGTATGATCTCCAGTTTAATTTTTTCGGTCAGCTGTATAATTGTGCTAGGTGTAAATCAATGAAGGTGGTGAGGTATGATTGGTTAGATAATTCTGTTGCTGTAAGTTATGATTGGTTAGTAACATTTTAATAAAATAACTGGCTCCAGTAAAGCCAAGCAGGGCTCAAGTTTCACTCTATAAACTGGGATCTAAAAGGAAGTTCTCTGGGAACCAACTCGGGGACATAGAGCCAAGATCAGAGCTGCCAGACCTCAGCCCTGTGCCAATGGCACTGCAGAAACTGGAGTCCTCTAGTGGACCTGATCCTGACTGGCCCTCATTGGACTTACTGGGAGTGGTGAGCACAATATGCTTAGTGTGTGCATTCTGGTTTTTGGTGACTGTTAATAAATAGCAATTAAGCAGGATATTACCTTGCAAGGCTCTTTTCTCTGGCAAAATACCCTGCATATCCACAGAGTAAGAAGGTTATGCCTGAGGCCGCAGAAGGGTGAAGTTAGGAGCTATATTGAGAAG